CTCTCTCTCTCTCTCTCTCTCTCTCTCTCTCTCTCTCTCTCTCTCTCTCTCTCTCTCTCTCTCTCTCTCTCTCTCTCTCTTCTTCGTCGTTGTCTCCTTTGCAGGTATGCAGCACCTTCCTCCACCAGCGCAGCTATGGCGGAGCTCTTTTTCGGTGATGACGAACTTCAACTTTGGCGCTCTTCGACTATGGGGCCCCACTTCGGCATACCGCGGACAACAACGACGAGTGAGATAGCGGGTACCAGCTCCAATACCAATGCAATCAGACTCGCATTCTTTTCCACTCAGCACTCATGCAAACAGATGGCGCACAACGCCCACTCAAAGCTCAGAGATATGGGAGTCGAAAACAGAGTTCAGATACAAGCTCGCTTCAACAGGCTATGGCGCATCAGCGTCTGTACATCCCAACTCTCGCCTCTCTGTTCAACACCACTGTTCACACTTACTCAACTCCGGATCAGCCTGGATATCCCACACGCATACACATACCCTCGTACACACTCACTCGCCTATCAGCTATGGCGGCTATGGCCGCTGTCCCTCTCCTAGCTATGTCTAGCTATCTCCTTCAGCCCACTTCGTCTTCGGGCACTCTGCAGACCACCTCGCACAAGTCGCTCAAGCAGCGCTTCCGCATGGCTTACACAGGAATGAATGAAATGGCTGGGCGCTGCCTCTTGATTTATACTTCTGTAACTCGTTGGTCTGCCCCTTTCCCATGTCCTGGGTGCACACAGTCCCACACGGTACTTGCTTGACTGGAGTGTGACTGACTGGGACCGGTACCGCTGACTGCATTGGTTTGCACTGCCAATTTGATGCAGTCGCACTGCCGATGTAATGCAGTTGGGCTCACCACTTGCCCAGTTGCCTCTGTCCAAATGTGAGACAACTTCGAAAGGCCATTTCCGGTACAACTTCAGTGCATGGTGCTCACCCGCTCAAAGACAAGCGGCATGGAGCAGCAAACTGGAGAGACTCCCGAGGCCTATGAGGCCCACATGCTGACCATGGTGGAGGAGTTCAAGCAACGGGCAGCGGCGGCAACAGCCGCACGAAAGAAGAGGGACGAGGAGGCAGAGAAACAGCGTCGCCTCGCTGAACAGCAGCGACAGGAGGACGGCGACGCAGCAAGGAAGGCCGCAGACGAACGCCGTCGACTACGCCGAGACAAACTCTTCGAATCTGAGCGGGACCTCGAGGTGATTGCCGGTGAATGGTCAGTGATTGCCGAAGAGGAGGATGCCCCCGCTGCTGTGCACGGCCTTGCAACCGCATTTGAACATGTGGCCGACTTGGTCGCCACCTGCACAACACAGCAGGAGGACATCCTCTGCGTGGACACCCTGGTCCGGAAGCAGGCTCGGCTTATCGATGACCTGCTTGACCGGGTAGGCCGGCTGGAACAGCAGCCTGCAGCAGCCACCATCGCCGGACCCTCCAACTTGGCGGATTGCATCCATGTCTTGGAAGCGGACGTTGGGACGCTCAAGGACAGCGCTCTAGTGACAAATCAGCGGATTGACCAGCAGATTTGTACCGCCGCAGGCAGTCCGACCGCGACTACTCGCGAGAGCATCCCGAAGTTTGACGGCATACCGATCTTTTGCGATGCAGCGAAGACGGACCCGATCCCATGGTGGCGCCAGTTTGAGTTGAAGCTGGACATCCACAAAGTCAGTGACGGAAACCGGCACGCATACTTGTACTCCCGATCGGGGGGCGCGTGTCAGGCATGGCTGGACAATATGTTGTCCACGCACACCATCGCAGTCTTTGAGCTGCATACGCAGATCAGTTGGCCTGATCTCAAGGCAGCATGGCATAAGCGGTTCCAAGTAGAGCCGCCCGAGCTTCAGGCAGCCGAGAAACTTCAACGGGTCTATCAGAACGACCTGCCAAGCACGGACTGGATAACGCTTGGCATCCACGCCCAACTTGTCGTCGACCTATGTCGGCATCAAACATTTCTTCATCAGGAGGAGCTGTCCAGCGTTACAAAACGCCTTGACGCAAGTTGCGGAGACACTCACCACAAGTGAGCAGCTTTTTGATAAAGCCTCGCAGATCATTGCGACGAACACCGAAGCCAGGAATTTGGGTCGTTCCTCTGCTGCGAGCCAGGGCAGAGATCAGCATCGACCAAAAGTGGTTGTGGTTGCGGCAACTACGCCGACCGACCCTCTACATGAGGCTGCCTCTTCTGATGAAGGAGACAGATTGGCAGCCGCCCGCGATGATGGCCGCCCCGCCAGAGGACGTGGGCGCGGCAAACCGAAGACGAACACCATTTCATCTCTCGGGACTGGGCCAGCAGCTCAAGAGCCTTGGACACATTACGGTGTGTCTCAGCAGGCGTGTACCGCATCCGTACGAAGCATTGATACTGTTTGTGGTGCAACAGCGCAGTGCACGACACCGCGCAGTGCCCCACGCAAGTCGAAGGCAAATTCCCTTCGGGAAAGTGAGCACCGTCGAGAGTGATGCGGTTGCACTCTCGACGCCTACGGAACCAGTTGCTTCGCGAACGACCTCTCTTCATTTCGAGGCACATGTGGAAGTCGACAACCCTCTCGTGTATTCATATGAGGACTATGCCCGACTCGTTCCTTCGCTGGGTTCTCAATCTCAAGGCCAAGATGTGTGTATGGTTTCTTCTTCGTCCGGAAGCAGTGTCAGTGTATCGTCTTCAAGTGGTTCTCCAAGGGATTCGACGCACGAGTTCAACATAGAGATCTTGGACCCGTTGACGTCCGAGGATTTTGCATGGCTTCCTCTCCCCTCCACAGACTGCTTACCGGAACCGCAATGCGCAGCATTATGCGCCTATCTCCACACATACTTAGTTTTCTATGCACCACCATCTTCATCGACGGATGACGAAGCTGCGGTGGGGGACATCCTTGCGTACGTTAGCAAGGTGGCCCACGAGTTTTGCACGCAGCGGTACGATGATAACAACGCACCGCTCCTTTATGTCCGCATCCAAGATGGGCGAGCGTCCCGCAGCGCTTTGCTGGATAGCAGCTCGACTCGCAATTTCATCAGCCAGTCCTTTATGCAAAGGGACGGCCTTGGCGCACAAGTTCGAAGGAAGCCAAACCCAATGGGGATCAAGTTGGCGGACGGTCGGACGCAACAACTCCTCGACCGCTACATCGAAGCCGTGCCGGTGTATTTCGCACCTCATGCATGCGAACCAGTGATGTTTAATGTCTTGGACGCATACTTTGACATCATTATGGGGATGCCTTGGCTTGCAAGTGCGGATCACACGGTTAACTTCCATCGGCGGACACTTACCGTTCACGACGCCTTCGGCGCCGAGGTGTTGTGTACCATTCCTCTTCCGCACCCTTCAATCGGGTGCCAAGTTGTAACGGCGAAGTCTTTTCGGGCCACTTGCGCTTACGAGCGGACCGACGAGAAAGGCCTATGTTTTCTACGGACTGTCGCAGGGACCGAATCTTCACCTACGGACTTGTCTTTGGAACCCCGAGTGGTGCGGTTGCTCGATGAATTCATCGACATCTTAGAGTCTCCTACCGGTGTGGTGCCGGATCGGCCGACCTCCCATGAGATCATTCTCGAGGCCGGTTGTGCCGCCGAAAGGATGCATCTATCGCATGAGCGAGGAAGAGCTCGCGGTTCTCCGCTCGTAACGACGATCTGTTGGACAAGGGTTGGATCCGCCCTAGCAGCTCACCATACGTTGCGCCAGTTTTCTTCGTATGGAAAAAGAACGAGGATCTGCGCTTGTGCATCGATTACCGCAAGCTCAACGCACAAACCGTCAAGAATGCGGGAGTGTTTTCTTTTTCTATTATCCAAAAGATTATTTGTTTGAATGAAAGAAAAATCATCTATAGCTTGACTTGGATTCAACAAATAGGCTAATTTACATGCTTTAACGATATGATAAGCGATAAAAGAATCAAATTCATTTATATACAAATTTCTGAAAAGCATTGACAATTCAATTAAATAGAATTTATCACAATAGAATGTTTCAATAAACAATTCTTTCTTTGAATTTAATATGTTTTTTAGTAAATGAAGAAAACT